ACATTGGTGGCAATTAGTTGGAAATAAATGATCTGGTTTCATATTCATATCTTAGTCGAGTTTACGACCGTGTCGATTTTCTCCTTGCGATGTTTAAAAAACCCATTATATTTATTTGTAAAATATATACAAGATCAATGTGAAAGAAGCAAAACAGAAAAAAACATAAAAGAAATACCCGAAACGTTTCATTCAACTGATAAAGCGATATTATACTCATTTCAAATAAATCTTGAAGAAATATCATAAAAATATCAGAAAAACTCTTGATTCTATTAAATCTAGTCAAGTTTTCTATTTCATTAGAATAGTTCAAATGTTATCTATATTTTCCGCCTGTGAAGTTATTAAAGACTATTTAAAAGAACGAATGAAGAAATATGAGAAATTCGGCATTGAATTATGATGTAAAAAGTGATTAATTGATTCTTAGCCAAACTTAAGATATCGGCTCTGACGTCAATCTTTAGCATTATATTGACATTTATCATTGAGGGTTACGATCTAAAACTACTGAAACAGCAGTAAGTGCGTCACCTACACAAGGTTCAGTAATGTTACGCTTGTAGTAATGAGTTAATTATCAGCACAATTTGAATATCGTCCGCTCGTTTACTTATCTACTGGATAATCTCAATTCGATATTGGAATCCGTTATATACACAATTCTAACGTACATTAATAGATATGACACGAATGTCACTTACAAAAGATTCACATTTATTTTAATTAAAGGGACAGATGCGCCATTTTGGGGGATTGAATTTAGTCTTGAATATATGTAAATAGTCTAGAAAAACTAGAAATGTATAACGAAAATCACATAATTCCTTTAAAAATACTTTAAACTAGGAATTTTACTCACTATTTATATTTATATCTTTTTTATATGTCACAGAGTATCTTGAAATGACGAGTCGTCATTTTAAGATTCTAACGCAGATAATTCTAAAAAACAATTGGATTTGCAGGCTCAAATTTCGACGGTGAGCTGTGAACACTGTTTCTGATTAGCTCAGCTAAAAAATTCAAGTTTCTGAGACTCGAGTAGCCTATGATTCGTCAAAAAAATTGTTGAAAGGTTTTCTAAACTTTTTGTATGGAAAACATTATCTATAGGCTAACATTAATTTGCACCATTCCAATTTTCAATCAGACGTCTTCTGTGGTCCCTGCAATTTCACTCAAATTAAGTGTTTGATGACGTCACTAATCGCGAAAGGTCTTATGTGATAGACCTACAGGGATATTTTGCGATAAATGACGTTATCAAACACTTATCCTTTGTGAAATTGCAGGAACCACAGACGTCTGATTTGAAAATTGGAATGGTGTAAATGGATGTTATCAGTGTCCCCGATACACATACACAATTTAGAAAAATCTCTTTACAATCTTTTACAGTCTTCAGTCTATATGTAAACTTTTCCAAAGAATATTTTATATTTTCAGATTTTATATCCAAAAGGAACCACTTGGAAATCCGATACCAAAAATGCATTTAACAATATTGGACAAGTTTGGCATTACACAATCATGGAAAAATGTTATAGGATTTAAATAATACCAATTGCATTTTTTTTTAAAAGGGTTAATAGTCCATCTCAACCACATCAAGGAGGGTCCATGCTATGTTATAAAATCTCAGCTACACCATGGATGCACACATTCCCCAGCTTTGGAGACATGATATAATCCAATGCATGCTGGTTGGTATCAAAACGTCAATTCCACACATTTTTTATTGCTCACGTTAACGTTTACCGTGATGCCAAATCTCCTTGTTAGTTGAGCATGTCACATACGGTAATCGAAAGGTATTAAAGGGAGATAACAACTTTTATAAGCTACAGACTACAAACGTATTATAACGAGACTGCTTTTCACAAGGAAGAATATTTAGGTCATTTAAACCAGTCTTGTGGATAATATAGTAAAGGTTTGATATTTGTGCTATGGAGCGGAACAATATTATGTTGTATAAAGGGTGGTTAAACTGTTTCCTGTTACTCAAATCGTAAGTTAATCCTTATTTATAGCGTTAGCACCTTGGCTATGTACTAGCAACAAAATTGTAGGTCGTATTCTCTTGAATATGCAGGAATAAGCTATATTTCTATTCAATTCTATATAATAGTTCTTGATAGCTTGAACATCGCAGTTCGGATCAAGTTTCGATTAGTGTTAAAATAGGAGTTATTTCCCTTCTAATGTGATTTGTATTGAATCAAGTTTTATATCTTTAGTTGAGGCATTGACGACAGGAACATTTTTTTCGGCAGGTTCCAGATACTTTTTTTCGAATTTTTCCACGCTACACATGGATATCTTAATGCACTCACAAGAACATACCAGCCTGTAGCACAATGTCATATGTATGTATATGAATATATGTATATGAACTAGTGACTGGCAAAAAAAAAAATAATAAAAAAATTAAAATACAGAGGATCATTAAAAATACGCAGTCATATACAAAGTTATTTTTAATGTTTTGTATTTAAATGTATCATTTATCATTTATAAAACATATGTCTGTATCTTTTTTGCACTATGTTATTTTTTGATGATTGTTTCAATTATCTTATCTGTATCCTTTTTTCACTATGTATATTATTAGATTACTGTAGCAATTCAAATGTCCAGTAAAATTAATGCAATTTAGTTGGCAGAGACAAATCGCTCCCTCTGTAGTTTTCAATGTGTAGTCACTTACGATGTTATAATAGGCCAACTTCACAATTTTCAGGGTATTGTGAACAACGCCTTATACCTTGACTACAATAGTCACCAATCAGACGGCTCGACAGAAAGTCTGTGAACACAAAGCCTTAATGTCGCGATCGCTGATTGCCTATATTCGCTGGCATACTATCCAATCAAATCGCTGCATTCCGTGATACAAGAATAGTGGCTAATTCAGTCAGGGTATAAGTGCGTAATAGCTTGACATAGTGAAGAACCATTCGACTACCAATCAACAAGAAATACCATGATCAGAACGAGTTTGGAAGAATGAAGGAGACCGATTAACTCACGCCACACCATCCAGGGCCGAGTTTCACCGCCATGTCATTCGACCCGACCAGATCTAACGAAGAATCAACAACCAAGCCAACAACACCGAATCATCCAATTTGATCCAATCCAACTACCAACTACTACGACTACCAACAACTACCTAGTTTGCGATATCAGCATCCGCTGGAAGCGAACGTTAACTCGTCATCTACCTACCATACCTACATAGTGAAGATGACATCATCCGTGTCTCGCACGTTGATGACAGTAATTAGTGTACACTGTGCAAGAAAGCGCTGTAAAATGTTATGCATGCATTAGTATGTTCGGACCTCTCAAACTCTTCTTTAAATCGTTAACGAAAATATTTTCTCCTAAAACTGTACGTCCACGCCCTAAGATAACAATGTTGGCAGAATAGTTGACTAGTGTATTGAAACTATGTTCAATATTTGTTCAACAGAGAGTGGTTTGTATTAAACAGAGGAAATATTACAAATAGTTCTACAGATCATATTATATTGTTTAAAAGTAGGACTGACCATATGACCCGACTATTTTTCAATCATGGACGTCAAACAAACTATATCAATCGGTTTAGACCATCCAGAAAATCAACCAAAATAATTTAGGCTTTATGGTCACTTTGTATTTGAAAATGAGACGCAAAAATTTATCTAGATAAAATTTCGAAAAAATGGGCGTAATTTAGCTCTTATGGGTCTCATTTTGATCATAATTCTGCTCTAATTGTTCACTTTTTCCGGCTTAAAGAAAATGATGAGTCTATCTTAAAAGTTAACCTTAAAGGATTCATTGCTCTGTAATAAATTGATAACAGCATTTAGCTCATTACTTTAATAATATTTACTCTCAATCCTCATTTCATTATATGTAACATGTGGATCTAATTAATAATATATCACAGTCGGAACTGATATATGATCATGTTGATCGGCTATTTAATGAATATGACTAACATGAACTTTTAAAGCCCAGTATCAATACTGGCTCCTATTAGGTAAGTTCTATCTCATATGTTTCAATATAAAAGTTTTATGTCCTACTGTTATTCACCCGATTGGGCTAATGAAGAAAGACATCGCCATGTAGTGTGCAATGTGAATTTGTCAGGACAGCAGTTCTTTTCTTTCAATAAAATATTATTTGGAAATATTAAAACAGAAATTGTTACTCTCAGTTTCACTTACCTATTTTCAGTTTGCGTCCCTACTGAAGTAGGACAAGTGGACAAATGAAATACTATTTATATAAAATTCACAGCATATCCTTTGAAAGAATTTGATCAGAATTGACAGGAGCTGGTTATTTGAATGCCTCAATCAGAATTCAGTTTGATAAAGAATCCGTAATCAGCCCTACTTGTAGGCTATCACCATTGGTGTATAAAAACATTGAATGTAACGCCGTATCACTATGTTGTTGTATCACAATAAATGCATTATACAACAAGTAATCAAATATTTTGATCGGTAAAATTACCATGTATATAGATTACAAGCTGTTAAATTAGAATGACAGCTCTTATTTTGTTGATAAACAGAGGAGAAACTGATGTGACGATATAATATTACTAAAATAAAACTTCGAATATACGAATAGTATCATCGGTATTGATGGGGAACTCAAAGGGCAGCCATTTAATGTTTCACAAGCTATTAGCTAGTCAGTTGTATCGGGCCCCTATAGAAATAGTAATATTAATATAAGTATCAGTATCAGTATAAGGTTCGTTCTATGGTAGGTGATACAGTATTTTAAATTGTTTTGTCTCCTTTGATACTTCAAATTGTCAAGTATGTTCTGTAGTTTTATTATAACATTAACTGAATATTTGACATTGTTGTCATTCCAGGTTGTAGTTGTTGATAACAATGTAAAAGATACGGCTACCAACAAAACTGAATCTTGAAACAGCCTAATTCAGTTCAGCCATGGCTTGTAAAAATTTCAACTGTATGTCAACTGTAGCGGTGGTGTGGGGAAGTTTGGAGATTATGATGTTTGCAGGAATCATTTTTGGATGGCATAACATCGTTTATATATATAAAGATCAAGGCTACTTCAGTCACTTGTGTCCAGTCTCAAATATAACAGAAAATGGTCAATTGAATACCAGTGTTCGAAATTCAACATTCGTTTATCAAGTCTCTTCGAACGATACAGGAATATATAATCAAAATGTTTCTATAATACAAGATGGACCAAAAAGCTTAACATGTAAAGAGCAATATGAACTATTAGCTATAAAATCAAGATCTGACTGTAATGAACAAGATGAACAATTTAATATTATATTTTCGTTATCCACCTTTATCACTGGTATTATGTGTATATTTACTGGTGCTCTGTATGATAGGTTTGGTACCAGAAAATGTCGGATCTTGTCCATGTGAGTAATATAACATTATATCAGGAATATGAAACATTTCTTTGGAAATATCAAATCCAAATGGAATGAATTGTACTTCAATCTGCTAACATTTGAAGAACCAATCATACATTAAAGAGACAGATGGGGACGGGGTGATTTTAGTCTTGTAAAGTTGTAAATAGTCTTCAGAAGTACTAGACATGTACGAAAATCACATAATTCTGGATTTGGACATGGATTTGGAGGCTCAAATTTCGACGGTGAGCTGTGAACACTAATTACTAATTGGCTTAGCTACAAAATTCCCGTTTCTGAGACCAATGTATGATTGGTCAAATAGATTGGTCAACTTGTCCCTTTAAGCGGATTATAATATGGAGCAAAACAGTACATTTGAATGAGTTACAGTTTGATTTGTTTCCATCTTCACAGTGTATGAAATAGCTATGTTTCTTGTATTATTGAGGTTTGTACATGAAGCGATTTCATTGGATTGGATGCTAGAGAATACATCCAATCTGAGGCCTCGACAGAAAATCTGAGCACACAGCAGCCTTTTCTGACGAGGTCTTTGATTGGCTGTATTCGCCGACGTACAATCCAAACAAATCGCTTTATTCCGTGATACAAGAATAGTGGCTTTTGCAGTCAAGGTATAAGTACGAAATTCATGATAACTTAATATTGCGAAGATTCTTGAGCCTATCCATATCTGATAGTTCTTTTTTTTCTTTCCAGGTTTTTTATGGTTTGTGGTTTATTGTTTCTCATCAATGCTTCACCAGGTACAATTTTAATTGGTCGGCTTCAGTGGGAATTTAGGTTAGCTTTGATAATGGGCCCTACATACTTCAGATTAATCAGCGAGCATTTTTATTGGTTAATTTGTTTCTACAACCAATCACAATAGTTCCACCCAAAAGCGTTGATTGGTTTCTAATTACTACACTCTGAATAAGGGATTTTTTACAGAATTACTCGTAAACAAATTTGCCAAAATGGTATGTTGTGGGAATATATGGCCAAGTTGAACATAATATTCTCCCAAAGTCTTAAATAGTGTATATGAAAATGATGAGCATCTAAATATTATCTGATATTGAAGAATACACGAAAATGTGGTTTGCAATCGACATGATGTGGGCAAGATATAATTCGTAAGGGTGAAGTGAACAGTTGTAAATCTGTTCTGTCTGTTCATCTGAGCTAATGGTCATAGTATGGGTTTTGAAATATGTTCACTGTAATTTGATGTGTGTTCAATTATCCGACTATATGTAAAACAGTTTTATATTATGTCTTTATGAGCACATGCCGTCATGTACTGACCTTACGTTGGTAAAAAGAATTTTTGTTTTAGAAGGCAGTTTGTTTCTATTTAATTTAACAACGACACATAAAACACAACAAAACCCAAATACATGTATATTAAAATCATCAATATTGTTTAAAATCTGATATTCAATTCATTTAAGACATTTCGACAAAATTCGATTTAGGGGCGAAAGGTTCTAAAACAGTATCATTTATATTTTCAACTCATTTTCCAGGGCAGCCATACTTCTTGTATCCAGGGTTTATATTTACAACTTATGGTGGATATTTCTTGTTAATCACAAACTTACAAATAGCGGGGCTGGTACCTAACTATCGCTCAATGATAATGTCGGCGTACTGTGGTTCATACGATGTCAGTGCCACTATGTTTCTTTTCTTTAAGGTAAGTATTTTATTGATATGAAATGAATGAAATCCTCTTTATTTTGTCCAAAGAGACCACACATATTTTCTATGTGACTTTCTAATATATAAAGGTATTGTATTGAATGAAGACAGGTGGTAAGTAGTATAACACGACCAAGAAAGTTCTTCAGCATAACCCAGTATTGAGTAAGATAAGATTTGTCCAAATCCTGACACATTCAATCTGCTCCGAGACAATCTGGCAATCCTCTTTATACGAGATCAACAACAACCACGCCAAAAGTGTTTGTCTAGGCCGTTTATTCCGTTGTCAGTGGTCACTCTGATAACGTAGGCTATTTAATGGTAGGACGAAAAACTCCATTTCATTTCCTTTTATGTCATTTCATTTCATTCTAATCTTTTCTTGCCTTTCAGCTTTCCTATGAAAATTATGACATCAGTCCAAATACATGTTTTATCGTGATGGCTGTTGTCTATTGTGTTGTTTATGGATTTAGCACATTCTGTATTTTACCAAAATCCAGAATACCAATGCCCAAGCCAAGTAAATACCAATTTCGACCTCGTATATACAGAATATTTCACGGGGATTCGTCAGATACCGCTGGAAATGAGGGTCAAATTTGTTACCCAATGAAGGAAATAACAATTGATGAATTCGGGAGTGTGGCCCTGGAATCCCCCACCCGGGTCAGTAACCGACTTTGTTCCGATGATAAGTCCCTGAATCCATATGTTGTGACTCAGAACGATAATATAAATATAGAAACGGACAATGTTAACGTGGTGCCCCCGAGTGACAATTCAAATCAGGACCTCTTAACCAAAAATATTTACGCTGATGACACACCTGCGACAGATGAACTGACAGAAGAGAAGACGACACTCGTAAATGAGGAAGATTCAAAGACAAATGAAAACATTGTTTCCAATGGACACCCATCTACCATTCAATCCACAACTCGTGTTCCCACATTTAAAAAGGTGCTTCTGTCACCACTGTTTCTGTTTTTGGTGTTTTGGATAAGTGTTCATAGACTAAGGGGATGGATGTTTATTGGTGTTTTTAATCCTTGGATGAGCCGATTAGTTTGTGGTGATAGATCTATAGGTAAGTCCTCAACACTATTTCTGGCATTAACCACTAGGTGCAAAGGCACACTTAGACACTGTCTTGTTTGACAAGCGGCTATAGGTAAAACGAATCACATGAAATGAGTTCAGCCATGGCTTAACAGCATCAGATAGAAGAAAACCCTTCTCGACCTGATCCCTCTTAACAGTTTATTCATATGTGAATATTTCTTAAGTCTGCTTTCTCTTCAAATTTTGAATTTGCAGACTACTTCCTCCAGGATATTTGAATCTCTCTTTCGTGATCTATTTCTATTTTCAGTTAGTCATTTTACATCTTTCCTATCGTCCACAATGTTTATCGGTATATTTTCTGCAGCATTTAGTGGTTTTGTCATGGATCGAAAAATAAAGAAGAAATATGAGAGTCGTAAATTTGGTAGGTATACAAAAGAAACGACAATATTAAAACAGTAGACGACTGGATTGCGAGTTACTGTATAATTGTGTGTATAATGCGCACTCCTCTTGCAGACACTATGATATTTAGTAGATTAAAGCGTTATCTAGCATATTATTTTAGATATTGAAATTAAAAGATTTTTAGAAATATATTGCCATATTGAATTATTTCATTTCTAACGTCATATATATTTCGACTGCTTCTGAAAATTTATTTTCAGCATATTACCCTTTAATAACTATTTTAATGTTTTTATGATACGACTGCCCTATCAATACCCACATTCTACACGTTATATAAACTTCTTTTCTTAATTTTCAGAAAGGATCCATGCATCTATAGCATCATTTCTATTAAATTGTAGTGTTGGATTATTGTTATCTATCTGCATGACTATACCAGTTGTAAATCTTCAGTATTTAACATGTTTATTGTTCACATTACATCGTTCCTTTTTGTATGGTCCAAATAGTGCCTTTATAGCTAACGCGTAAGTACTTGATCTTTTTATGTTACCGCAATCCTAAATGGGGTTTTATGTAGGGGAGATATGGGAATAAACCGATGCTTTATAACCAACGCTTTAGTACTTGATCTTTGTATTTATTCCTAACTTGCCTTGATACTAATGTACATGATCTGTTTTCGAGTTCTAGACTGCAAAAGACCTTAAACTTTCAATGATCTATAAGCTTTTTATATATGATAGTTTCGTGCACAGTCACGTCAAATTTGATATTCTATCGCACACAAATCCACACTTAAATTGTATATTTTCCATGTGGTATATTTTCAGATTTCCAATGGAACATTTTGGGAAGTTAATTGGTGTAACGTTAACAGTATCTTCGTTATTTGGGATGTTACAAAACCCACTGTTTTTATGGATACAGGGACCATTAGATAAGGATCCTTTAGTGGTGAGTCTTCTAGTCTTTTCCCACAAAATAACTAAGTTCTGACTTAACGCGAAAAGTATATGTTAATCCTCAAACCGCCAAGTCTATAACAGCATGGGAATGGATGCCATCGGTATAACGCCATGGTGCTTAGGCTAGAGCTTCGATTGATCTAAAATTCAACCAGCACCAATCGCCATGCTCTATCAAAAATCGATAAAATCATTATAAAAAATTATGGTAATGTACTAGTGTTGATGTAAGCAAGCCATGTACATAATTTAGATGCAGCTGATTTGGAGGAATACACACCGTCTGTTTAATAACGGTCATATCTCCTCTTGCTAAATCTACACCAGCCAATATCTGTCCAAATAGCTATCAGAGGCTGGAATAGAGAAAGATGTTTCGATCTACAGGATTCCCTTTTTTTGCATCAAATAGGCTGGCTATTATAAAATTCCACTTATTTTAGCATGAATAAATATACAGTACTTCGACAGATTTCATTGGCGAAGCAGCCTTCTGTTCACTCTTCCGAAACACTTGATGCCGTTTTGAACTCGATTCTCTAATAAGTGTATTAAATGAGTCAAGTACAGAACATAATACTGATATTCCCAATTAACAACATGTGGTTACCTAGCAACATTTTCAGTATATCAAGGGCGGTCACCTATCTGTGTCTTGTCATACCAAAATCTAATTTGTGAAAGATATTGTTGATTTAAACAAAGACACATTATTTAATAAAATTCTGACATAAACTGTCACCTCTATCGCGTTAACAAGCCAATAAATTTTGATGCGTTTTACTTAGTAACTCAAATTCTGCTGATCGAAAAATTGTCAAATTCAATCTTGACTAAGATCTCATCATTATAAATATTCACACCACACATTATAATATGGGCGTATAAAAATCAAATATGTTTTCTCTATTTTTCCAGGTGAACGTTATAATTTGTGTGATGATTTTATTAACTTTTATTCATCCAACCTACATCTGGTTTTACCTTAGAAAGAAATTTTCATCTCGACAGAAAGAAAAGAATTGAAAATGGTTTGGAAACGAGAAAAATCGAAACCGACCATGACAAACATATCAAATGGCCAACCTCGGGGAAGTAAGGGATCAAGAAAAATATCTGTAGAACTGTGAGGTCTTATGGTGAATATAAATACTTCATTCTGTTTCTACAGTGACATTTCTTCATCTTTAGCAGGAACATGTCAAATACATATTGATCAAATGTATGTGTTCATTTTTTTATAGCTTTAAATGTGGTAATATTTTCGTTAGTTTATATTTCAGTGAATATTAAAATGCTTTATATTGATTTTCTGATTTCTGACGATGGACCAATATCTGGGCCCATGAAAATTGTCTTCACCCATTGTTAGGAGTTAGGATGGCCAATGTCTGGATCTTAACAACTTTGCTTAACAATGAAACAACCTGCTAACTGAATAGGCACCTTGAAATGGGCATATAGAATTACCAGATATAATCCTGTACTACCACTGTCATAATACTATTCAAACCAAACGGTATTTGCAATAGAGACCTGGTTTGAGTCAAGTATTTCTGATGGAATATTTGGTTAAATAAATAAAACTAACCATACTTCAAGAGATGAACATTTTAATTTTTCAATACAAAAGCAAGATGTGAACAAAACAAACTGAAACATTGAAAGATTGTGATTGACAGTTAAATTTCTGGAAAGATAATTTTTAAATGCCAGAGCTAATTCGGAAATTCTGATGCAAATTTGAACCATTTATTAGCAATTTGAAATTCTGGAGCTCAATTCAAAACCTTTATTAACAAATTTGAAAATCCTTAGCTATTCTGAAATATTTGTTAGCGTTCAAGAAACATCTGAGCTAATTGTGATTAGCTTTTGAAACTTAAAGTAGATATTTGCAGCATAAAGAAAATATAAAAGTAGCACTACATGATAGAAATGATAATATAAATAATAATGATAATGATATATTAATTAATCTCCTTTTAATGAAGACATACCAGCTCTCATTATTTCATCTACTAGAAGTAGGTTTGAGGCAATCACAGAACTGAAATAAAAAAATATTTAATCATTAACGAACGTCAGATGGGCTGAGGGACCAATGGTGCTCAAGCAGGACTTTCCCAAACTAGTTTAACATCTTGAAACCTATTATCGGAATATTCCAAGCTCCTTTTAAGTTTGGTCATATACTCCTACTCTATCACAGTTTGTAATTATCGCAGTATGATATGAGCTTTTGTCAATGAATGACTGATAATCATGTCACAGCCTTCCAGAACAACCTGATGCCACCCATGTTATTTAGGTATACCGGTATTGTTGATGGCATTTTCCATTGTAAAATTCCATCTGCAAAACCCATAAGGTTCAAAAATTGAAACCGAAGAAAACTCCAAGGTGCTGCTGTAGAAACCTGAGATTCTAGTGTTTGATTAAAGAAAGATAATGAATGTTACATACCATGAATGAAGTAGTTGTTTTTTAACTCTATAATTATCTAGTATACCACAATCAGCTGGTATCAGGGCTTCACCTACAAACAGTATCATTTTACAGTTATAAGCTTCTCTTGCATGAGATACCCCTAAGTTAACATAAGTGATGTAGACTCTCCAAAAGGGAATCCTACAGTACCGGTACTACTGTGATAATAGCTGGTATCCCAAATTTAATAGATATTATGTTCCAGCTTAAATACAACAAATAAAATCTCTCCTTTGGAACACAATTTCTGTCAATATTTCAAAATCATTGTATTTACATTAAACTTTCTGTATGTTCAGTTTTAACTCTTTTGACCATTACAAAGATATTTCAAAAGAAACAAAGTAAATCACATGTACTACCAATTGAAGTAACCACCCTACAACATACAATAATAAATCCCTACATACCAGTTTTAATATCTAAGCCTACAGCTTGAGTAGGTGAGATATATTCCTGTTGTAACTTTACTATAGCTTCTTGAGGATCCAGACCAGAATTCTGAGCTAAAACTTTCACTATGATCAACAAAGCTTCAGCAAATGCTTGGACACCTATAATATAGAATATTTAAGACATGAGTGGACGCTCTTGTTTTCTCCATCCATCTCACACTTGATTAAGAATTAATTCTGCAAAATAGTGTAATTCAAGTGATTCAATGAAACAAATGAAGCAAAATTGCATTTATTTTGTCATGACCTTAAACAAATCTAGCATGTCGTCTGCTTGTTGACATGCGTTCAAATCCTAAGAAAAATTCTTACGGCCAGTGCTTTGGAATGTCGAAACTCAATATGGATTTCAATCCCTATCACAAAATTATACACTCAAATAATAAACCTACCAAGTCTAGCACGACCTTTAACAGTATCTTTATACTTCATTAATTCTTGATATGCAGCTATTTCAAATGCTCCAGCGCCCGGCAACACACACGCTGAAATAATAATACAAAACTCAATAACTTCTGACTAATACCTTAATTATAGCATAACAAATATCACTGCTCAGAAAAATAGTCCCTGGAATAACTCAGAAAACCTGTGATGAAAACAACTCAATTTACCATCTTCTATAGCATTTTTCACTGCTCTCAAACCATCTCTCACAGCATCTTTAATCTGAGTCAGGGTGTGTTTATTTGGTCCTTTAATCAGTATAGTAACAGACTGAGGATTCTGACAATCTTCTAAGAAGGTGAACTTATCTTCTCCCTGAAATATTCAAACACAAAATACTAATTTACTCTTCAAATAATGCTCTTAAAAATATTACTTTCAAGAAATTTCATCACTTTTAATTTTGTTACAGAGAAATGAAACTTATATGTATTTCTTTGACGATCAAGAAGATCATAAAAATATGTCTCAAAACGTGTTTCATGGTTGCATAACACAGGGCTGTTGCCTTAGCAAGAACTAACACATGGAATAACAAATTACTAGAATAGATTCAGTGTTGAATTCCAAGTAAAAATTTATTATTGAGTACATACCAGAACTTGTTCATAGACTAATCCAGAATGTCCCAGTACATCTGGTGTTAAATCATCCACAGAATTAACAGCCATACCACCACAAGCTAGAGCAATTCTACAAAATAACATACTTATAATTCAATACAGTATTGAAATCTTGCTTTTATTTATCAGTCGTAACTTAACTTTTAAAACAACACATCTTAAATTTTGATCCTGTATATGAAAGTATTTGTACAAATCATATATACTTTAATATGTCTCTACATCATATAATTATGAAGTAAAAATGAATTCCCAAATCTGGATGGTGTTTAAAAGGCTGACCCTTACCTTTCCATATTCCTACGTTTTGCTCTACGTAAAGCTACAATACCTTCTTTAGCAAACATATCTAATGATAGTGGATCCACACCCTATAATATAATTAATCAAATGTAAGAAGAAACTAAACATATCTAGGTTGTATGAAATATAACTTATCATGGAACACCATGCTCATTCTTCCAGGAACCAGATTCTGTTTATCTAAACAGCTGACCTACCACAATGACTTAAGATCTTCCTTTAACTTTAACACATACATTCTAGACACTAGTTAAGAGTAGAAAAGAATTCAATATGAACAAACCTTTTGGTTGATGACAATAAATCCCTTTTTATTTCCTTCACAGACTTTCTTCTTCAGTTCAATAATACGTTTAACTCTATCATCAATAAACTTTCTCTCTGCATCAACCAACTTCTCTCTTTCTGCTGCCGTCTTGTAGAAAAATCCAGAGTTCACTTCACTGGAAAAATGCATTACTGTTTATGTCATTGAATCAAATTTTTTGAGGGGAGATCTGGTTATTCATTATGACAGTTAAATAAATGCTCAAGCAACTGAGTTCACATTTGACTTTTTCTGCACCAGATTAGGCCAATGAAGATGGGATAATGACCACATAGAATACTTACGTTTTTTCATATTCCAATGACACATTACAAGTCAGGATGAAAGCATCTTCAAGTCTTTTCTTCATATCAGGATGTCTGGCACCATGATCCATGACAATACCTCGTACTAAGCTGTAAAATCAAGTTTTTATTAATTTAATACAATTCCCAACCACAGGACAAGTTCTCTTTCTAGTTTTAGAATTTATCTAAAATATTTGGCCTATGAAGAAACAAAAATTACACCTTGATACAATTGTTCCAAATACAAAGAAAAGAAGGCTTTCACAACTCAAAACTTACATAGTATCCATATCAGTCTTATGTTTCATCTCCATTAACTCTACCATATGTAGATCAATTGGTTCTTTAGGTTTCTTTATAGCCAGTACAGCATCTACTATATGCTAAAAAATTAAATTTCATATTTAAATCAGTCCTTCAGAAAATTTTTTGTCTTCTTTACAAGTTTGCAAAATTAGGTTTTTAAGGATTCTCTCTACCATCTGCTTCTTGTCCAAACCTCTTACAACTGAGTTGACTGGAATATTCAGGTAAGATGACTTAATCAAGATCATTTGATCTTCCAACATCAAATGAGATCACAAGCATAATTTGTTCTGTGTAACCAGGCCAACCATTGTGCCTAAATTTGCTTTCTTTATTCTTAATAGACTTTTAGAGGTCTAAATAGTTTGATAAAACTTGAAAACTACAAGGTAACCCACCTCTGTCAACAAATCAGCTAAGTCTTGGTGGACTTTAGTACGTAGAGAAGTTCTAGCAATTTGTACCAGTGTATCTCTATCAACCTCACGGGTGATCTTCACCTGATCTAATACCTCTAGAGCTTTATTTCTAGCCAGTTCAAACCCTTCAGTAATCAATCGTGGATGTAATCCCTGAAATACAATTTGCACTTTCTTATCAAGTCAATAAAGGAGTATGTATTATAAATGATTCAAAAATATCAAACCAATTTGGGTAGTACTGTTACTTAATGTGGCAGAAAAACATTGCCTTGTACTTTAGTTTGATTCCTTACAAACAGCATTAAGTACAACTAAGCTAACTCCTTATTGACCATCAGGTATCTAATAACTCTGGATTATACATAAATTTCGACATTTGAATATCAGATAGCATAGCCACATCTGTTTCCTTTGGTGCCATCTTTAAGACATGTAATAACAAAAAGAATCCTATTTAAATATGACAACCAACCTCAGTAATGTAGAGATCAGCTTGTTTTAACAGTTCACCAATGATCAACACATTAGATGTTGTACCATCACCAGTGATATCATCTTGTGCAGTAGCAACACGAGCTATCAAGGAGGCTGTAGGATGTTGAATTTGCTAAAACAAAAAAAAGAGAAAGTTATTTCAGAGACATATATATGCTATGCGTTTAATTCAAAACTTTTTGTAGCAAGTCATGTTATGAGCATCTAACATAGGTTGTTTCAGACAACATTTTTAACTTCACAAAAGTAAGCACACAAAAATGACATAAAAGATACTAACCATTTCATGCAATAAAACATTGCCATCTTTGGTTAATTTGATATCTCCTGCACCAGAAACCAACCTATAATACAATACAAGACACTGGTCTTTGTAACTAGTTAAACTAACAGAACCTTCAAGATGGTCCTATATGATTTCAACACAGCCCATCTACTACCTAGTCCACATTGAGTTCTAAATTGAATTTTTTCTCTCATGTCACAATTATTCAAAATATGATTTCCAAGTGCATACCAATGGCAATTGTCTTAGAATGCCTTTGGGTCCATGAATATATAAGTTTTGAAAATGAAATGAACACACTTCTGTCCAAGAAATACCATTTGAAAATGACACTCATTTTGTACTGAGAATCTCCCTCTGTAAAATCAGTTTCAAATAATTTTGTTTTCAATGGTTGGCATTTTCATCAACCCAATCTAAGACTATTATTTGGAGTTTAATATTTCAATTCATACAAAAATGATAGCCAAAGTGTGATTTACAACTTGATGTGGCCAAAGAGTAACTTCTCTCCGCTCACACTCACAGTAAGCTCAGAATTGAATCTTTCGTTTTTCATTGAATTTCGAGAACATTCCATCTTCGTGACAGAACACGCACCACGTGTTTTGGTCAACTTCGTCAATTTGATCAGCTAAAATTAGAATAATTACATTTTCATGGTTCCTTTTGGACCAAGATTGGTTCTAAGAACATCTTGTAGTCCTTTTGCTGCACTTATATTCACAGCTAAAGCCTGGGCAGCTCTCGCAACTTCAGCTTTTGGATTCAATGAAGTGATCGCCGACATCTTGCCTTGTCTTGTTACCGGAAGCAATGATATGACAGGTTATCCAGTCTTTTGAAACACTGTAGACATCACAGGGACTTGTGTTAATATGATACTAAATTAAACCAGTATTGATAAAAACCTAAAAACCTAGGCTAACGAAGATTTTACCTGAACGACGGTATTAAGCTATTCTATTCGGTTGAAATTTAGCTTTCAATTTCAAGGATTCTATGGAATCAAATTTGACGTTTCCTATCATTTACGTGACATATAATAACAAATCAAGCAATAAAAGATTAGATTTCTCGGACTATCTCTAATCAAATAGCAGTCCCTCTGGTCATATTGATAGAAAACAGGGATCATTAGTTAATGAAACGTTCATAAATTCTTTTTGGCCATTAAATTGTTTTGTACAATTCTTTAAACTCTTGAAAAAAACCCAATTAATTTCAAATTTCTGCTTTTTGTTGATAATTTATCAATTAAGCCTAAGTAATGAATTTGACCGAAATATATTCATGAATAATCCCTAAATGTCAAAGGTCAGTTCTTATAAAACGTCATAGGGGTTAAAGTCGACAGGTGCCCGTCTGTATATTGACTAATATCTATCTATAATCTATGATTCGATTTAAAACGCATGGACAGTGGAATTTTTCAGTGATTTGATTTATTTCAGCACTTATTTGGAATCAGGTACGGTATCATTGCTTAAATTTCTTGTCTTCTTTCAATCCTTCAAGGGTCAAAAACTTGGTCGTTGCCATTGAATTTGGGATCAATTTCTGGCAGGGTTATATAGCAAACGTGTGAAATGAGATGATTTATTGTTGGCTACGTGCTACTGTTTCAATTCATATTGATTGAGCAATTGTTTGAATTTGGTTGCATTGATTTTTCAATTTCAAATGCTAGATACAATGTTCACAATTTTCTGAACAAGTTAGTCAACAACAAAAACAGGCTTGATTGAACAGAACAGGGGTTGTTGACCTGTTGCTTTGAGGGTGAAATTATGAGACTAAGTATTCTGTCAAGGCCATACCACCCTCAGTGTTATTATTAAATGGACAAAATGGATTTGTGGGGTTGAAAGGAGATAGTAGATAGTAATTTTTTGGGTAATAAATTTGTAATCTTTAATCAAACATGGAAAATTAACATAACACTAGAAGATACAAATTTTGAATGATGAAATCAGTAAATTTCTGAGATTGTTGTTAGTTAGGATTTCCTGGAAACGATATGCTAACCAGAAACACTAATTTAGAATTTTTATGGAGGCTGTCATGTGAATAGCCAATGTTTTGGTTGAGAATTCAAAACAGAAAGCCAGGTTAGAGCACTTGGTTGACTTACCCTATCTATAGGCCATTTGGTTAGCTTAATGTCTGCTTGGTTGTAAGACAAATTGTAGATTCTTAATTATGGTTTCATAACCATTGGTTAAGCAGAATAAATTTGTCATACTATTTCTTTTAATAAGAAGTTATGCATTTGATAGTCAAAAATCGCCTATATAGATCTGATATAAGTCGTACATGTGTATAAATGTTATTTATAAAGGAAATTGAAATATATGTACCGGTAGTACATTTTATCTGCCAATACGAAAGGCAATATGAACATGCTGGTAACGTATTGATTATAGAATTAAAACTAGAATTATGGCTAGATACCATAAATAGCCATGAAGATAAGCACTTACTTAATGACACCTAATAGAGGACTTTTAACTTGAACAAAAAAATTAAATACAAAAATAGATGTGATATTTGAGTTGGGAAAAGATTTAAAGGACTTATATAAATGGTTGTAGAAGCTTAACTTTTCATGATTGCCATAATACCATAATTCTCAATTATTGCTGGTTCATTTATCCATTGCTCATGCTAAAAGATTTAAAAGATCAGGGACATATATTTTTCATGCTCCTTGCCAAAAAAATTGATTGAGAAAATTAGATGTCCATTAATAGGCAATTAAAATGATTTGATCATAATGATATGATTGACATCAGCTGTTTCAACTAATTAGTTTCCTCCCTGATCAGGTGATTATCGCAACTTGACCACTTAGTTCAATTATTCAAATTAGATCTATGAATTTATATTTTCTCATGTATAATTTCTATATATGTAGATTGATAAGGAGATCTACCTATTAGAACTAAAGTGACAGCTCTAGTCATTTGAAATGATTATGAATGAATGACAAATTTGACCTACATTAAACATAGTGTTAATTGATAATGCTGAGTAAGTAAGCAAATATGTTTCATCAGTCAAAGTCAAGCCATATATGTCCCGTTTTTTCTATTGTTGATGAAATTCTTGAAATCTTGATTCAAATTACATCAGAGCTTTTAGTATTACCACACTATAACTAATATTATGTTCATTGGAAAGACGTTTTGATAGACTCAATGTGTACTTTAGAAGTGGACAAATATTTATAATATACATGCAAGGTTTTAAAGTACAATGTGTGTTCAATTATGTTTTGTGTGAGAATTGTGTTTTGATTGTGTTTGTCTAGTAATTGTGTGTTGGAATTATACATTGTGTTTATTATGTAAGGAAATAGTACTGTGGTTTGTGGAATCTTTATAATAATTTTATTAATGATTTAGTATTTCTGTTTTAGAAACATATATAAACATACTAATAACAAATACACATATATATCGGGATTCAAATTAAGGGGTATCACATAGATTCAAAATGACTCCTTATGTGATCTCCTTTGATTAGCGAAAATAGAAATTTATGACGATCTCAAATCGTATCAAATAGTATATATTTGAAGGTATACTACTGGAACATTTTAAATTGCTACTGAATTTGAAAGAAAGCAAATCAAAATTTAGCTTGTCTTATAAATTCCTAATCAAATTTTTCAATCTTAATTGAACCATGAAATATATAGAAAACAGTTTTTAATTTAATACCGGTACAATTCCAAATTAACATCAAAAATTGTTTGCAGGAAATGTTACCTAGAGTATAAAATATGAATATCTGAGTTTCCACCCTGATGTAAGATATGTACAGTGTTAAACAGTTCATATGAATGTTTTGTAATTGTGTGACAGACATAATAACATTGTGTTAAGAAACTTGTTATTTATCACATTGCATAACACATCACCTTGACCTTGTGTTTACTATTCATAGTGCTAATGAACACAACTCAAAACTACAAATATGGCTATATCAAAACCTTTTTTTTTTTTTTAAAAAAAACCCATAAAAACTAAATAGAAACAGAAGAAAGAAACAAAAAACATAAGAGAACAAAAGCTTATAAGTTGCTCAGTTTCATGAAAAATGTTTTCCATCTGATTTTGTGATGCATTGAAAAATGTTAATTAAAATGCTGTTAAGCTCTAACTATTAGCCTTACCAATAAAAGCTTGATTCCAGTTCTCCAAAATCCTTTTCAGAATTACTATCCAACATCCAGTTCTTCTACAATTCATCAATAATGTAATGTATCAGTTAAGACTGTTGTCAATTCTGAGGTGTAATATATTATTGCACCTTCATTCCTTAACAAGATCATGATATCCACCTTCAGGTTATATATTTTTATTGTAGATCTTTTAGTTGATATTCTGATATAAAGCAAGAAGAATGAGTTCGGCTAGTAATGCCATGGCAGGAGGAGGTGGTTTATTCTCCATGGTGGACCTGTTTGTATTGTCAGCTGCTGGAGGATTCGCTATATATTGGTTCTTCATTAGAACTAAAAAACAAGAACAACCAACTTTTAAAAAGCTCACTGTATCGTAAGTAGAATCTTTAAAACCTAACTAGGACTTTTGTAGTGCTAGGAAAAAGTTACATGAAAAGCAGATTAACTGTGTATTGAGTGCAGGGCCTTGTTTCTCTAAAATCTTGCAATAAGAATTTGTTATGTGAACTTTTTATATTGAGGAATACCATGTACAGTATTTATGACAAAATTGATAGTTAGATATTTTGTGAAACAGACAGGACCCTGGAATTGAAATTCAGGAATTGGTTTATAAGATTGTTTATTTAAGAAATTTAGTCTAGTGAGGGAGAGGAGAAGCGGTTCTGAGAAAAAGCAAAGAATTAACTGTTTGAGCATGCATGAGCAGCAACAGTTTTAAGTGAAGAAACAACTTTACACTGTGTTTTTTGTAACATTAATTATTTTCTATTTCAGACCAATAGTAGAAAAAGGCAGCTCATCAGGTTTTATAAATAAAATGAAAAATACAGTAAGTTATGATATAATTTATATAAAACCTTTCAAGCTGAGAACATAAAACATCTATTATCTAGGAATTTCATGGGAACTGTCATATTTGTGAAGAATTCACGTAATCTTTGCTTACTTTGCTAAAATCAATTGGAGCCCTTTCTTCCAAAACTAGTTCCTGATGGGCATTTGTTTACATCAGCGATAAAATATTTTACTTTATTCATATTATATATTCCAAAGTACCGGTATTAATTTCCAAGTTTTCGCTAATTTAGAATCGGAATGTAGTGGTATTCTATGGGTCACAAACTGGTACAGCAGAAGAGTTTGCTACCAGGTTAGCTAAAGATGCTACAAGATATGGTATGAAAGGCATGGTGGCAGATCCAGAAGAATGTGATATGGTTAGTACTCTTGGTACTTTTCTCTCATCATCGGAATGATTACCCAGAATCATTCAACATGGCACTGGTGCCAAAGTTTATCAAATCTGTTTCAACTTGTCACTTGGAATAACAAAATGAGACAAAAATCCTATCCTTGTGTGATACAGTTACTATGAAAGATTCCTCTTGGAACTGAAAAAGAATTCTTTACCATATATAGTTGAAAATCAAAGTTGACCTCATATTCTAGTTTGGGCATTCGAGGACATTAAACTCTTGTTTCATTCACCTTAAGATATGATACAGAGATATGATAAATAGGTTAGATGTAAGTAAGTGTATATATGGACCTGTTTGCATTGTAGCATAACGTATTAATACTGACTAAATGGATGAAAGATTATTTACTTACTATTAAGGCAGAATATAATAGCGATTTTATTTTCCCTAAAAAGTGGGACAAATTTAAAATATAGTCTAGGTTTAAAGAATGTGTGCCAGCGAGATAAATTTGAGTATAATGACTAAATACATTCTCCCAGCATTCAGAAAAATATGGATTTTTAGTGAAATCATTTGTAGTGTTTGATAAATTGTACTTCTGATTTTTTAATAAGGATTTTATACAGCAATCATAAAAAAAATATCTTAATTAAATACTGTTCAGGTGCATACAGCTACTTAAAGTGAAATGTTTGCGAGAAAAAATATATTCTCAGTTAAAATTTTTACCGGTATGTGTATCGGTGATACTGATAGCATCAATTTGAACAATTCTTATTTTCAATCAAAAGTCTGTAGTTCTTACAATTCCACTAAAACTAGCGTTATATGACGTCATTAATGGCAAAGTCCTTATGTGATGCAGTATATTTTACGATTAGTGACGTCCCCAATACACATGAAAATTTGAGAAAACATCTTTACAATCCCTTTAAGATTAAAGTAAACTGTTTTTGATTTTAATGTGTAATGTTTTGTGCATTAATAAGTTTTCAAGTTACCCTTCTTGTCTCTTTCTATTACAGGAAGATTTATCTCAGTTAAGAGATATAGAAAATTCACTAGTAATATTTTGTTTAGCAACGTATGGTGAAGGTGATCCTACTGATAATGCTCAAGAATTCTATGATTTTCTACAGTCTGGAGGAGCTGATCTAGATGATGTTAAATATGCTGTAAGTATATAAAATATAGAGTTCATCTATGAACTAAGTTCAGGTAGAACTTAACTGATAATTGATTTAATTTGGTTGCTTCAAAGTATATTTTATTGAAGCTCTCATCACCATCCTTGTAAATGCTGTTTTATAAGAAAATGTGCCCTTTTATGAGTCTTGTGCTAGGTAATAGAAATATGAACACTAATACACTATGGGTATTCATTTATAGGCAATAAAATCTTTGAACACTTTAATGCTATGGGTAATTATTTACAGGTATTTGCTCTAGGTAATAAAACCTATGAACACTATAATGCTATGGTTATTTATTTACAGGTATTTGCTCTAGGTAATAAAACCGATGAACACTAATACACTATGGGTTTTCATTTATAGGCAATAAAATCTATGAACACTTTAATGCTATGGGTAATTATTTACAGGTATTTGCTCTAGGTAATAAAACCTATGAACACTATAATGCTATGGGTATTTATTTACAGGTATTTGCTCTAGGTAATAAAACCTATGAACACTATAATGCTATGGGTAATTATTTACAGGTATTTGCTCTAGGTAATAAAATCTATGAACACTATAATGCTATGGGTATTTATTTACAGGTATTTGCTCTAGGTAATAAAACCGATGAACACTATAATGCTATGGTTATTTATTTACAGGTATTTGTTCTAGGTAATAAAACCTATGAACACTATAATGCTATGGTTATTTATTTACAGGTATTTGTTCTAGGTAATAAAACCTATGAACACTATAATGCTGTGGTTATTTATTTACAGGTATTTGTTCTAGGTAATAAAACCTATGAACACTATAATGCTGTGGTTATTTATTTACAGGTATTTGTTCTAGGTAATAAAACCTATGAACACTATAATGCTGTGGGTATTTATTTACAGGTATTTGTTCTAGGTAATATAACCTGTGAACACTTTAATGCTATGGGTATTTATTTACAGGTATTTGCACTAGGTAATAAAACCTATGAACACTTTAATGCTATGGGTATCTATGTTGATAAAAGACTAGAAGAACTAGGTGCTAAAAGAGTTTATGAAATTGGACTAGGAGATGATGATGCCAAGTGAGTTTTTGTTTATAATTCTTTTAATGAAGGTATATACATAGTATGGATCTAATATGGATCATTTTTTAAATAGTGCTCAATTTAATTGTAGAGCGATATAGAAATATTTCATTTCCGTCCATTTTTATGACTTTATCAATGAATGAATGTGTCAGAAGAATTGCCGTGGTTCATTAAAAGTGGAATAAAATTGATCCATTTTGAAATTTCACTTTTACACCAAAATCTCATCATAAGATATTTTGAGGAACAAGGCCCAGACAACTATATTACTGTCCGTATGAATTCTTGATGAATATTTCAGTATTGAAGAAGATTTTGTAACATGGAGAGAGAAGTTCTGGCCAGCTGTCTGTGAAGAGTTTGGTGTTGAACCTACTGGTGATGATTCTAAGTAAGTCAACTCTCTTTTTTTTAAGCCTCTTTTCTTTAAATTGTGACACTGGCTTTTTGAAATAGATCTTCTTTTTTTAAACAAAGATTTATTGTGAATCTTGCTCAAGTGAACACATAATCACACAAACATCTTTCATATCTGCAATTGTTTAAAACATGTGACCTGTAACGATGAATCAATCGCAATCAAGACGAGAGATTTTCAAAGACTTTGTATTCGGAAGACTATTGTTAATAGATTAAAAGATGTTATGCTTGTATATTTCAGCCAAAGACAATATACTCTAGAAGTTATGTCAGATATACCTAGAGAAAAAACATACCATGGTGAAATTAGCAGACTTGGTTCATTTGTTAATCAAAAACCGTAAGTAGATATTATATACTTGATCATTCACTGTGGTAGTCTGAATATATCCCAAATTATCTTTCAATTTTAGCAAGATTTGAGTTATTAATGCTGTCATGAATTTTTTTGCTTTATTGTACACTGCATGACTCCACCTTGTTTTAGTGTCTGACTAAGTTGCAAAGCTATTTAAACAAGATTTTTGTTATTACTGCCATCATGAAAATGAAATAAATAGACTTTTTTGCACCATGTAGGCTAATGAAGACAGGTTGCCATCTTGGAGATGACATGCTATATTGTATGTTTCCCATCAATATATATATTTTTGATATATTTGCAGACCATATGATGCTAAGAATCCATTTATGGCGCCGATGACAGTGAAGAAAGAATTACATAAAGGTGGAGGTAGATCTTGTATGCATATAGAATTTGACATAACTGGTTCTAAAATAAGGTAAAAAAAATTGTTTCTTAATGTGACAACAGGTTCACTTTAGAAAAAATAAGAATAGACTATAATACAATTCTAAAATAAACAGAATTTGCAATAGTGATGTCATAAAATCATAACTAATTGACTCTATGTTTTATTATAGATATGAATCAGGAGATCATGTAGCTGTTTATCCTATCAATGATTCTAAATTAGTAGAGAAAATAGGACAACGTTTAAATACAGATCTAGATACAGTCTTTACTCTTACTAATGTTGATGGTAAGTCATCTCTATTCATCTGACTTTTCCTAAACAACTGTAAGCTTATTTTGCCTGTCAATAGATCAGTAAGGTTGTTTGCCAAAACTGCTCTCACAGCGGTTGTCCAAATGTTGGATATTCAACTCCCAATACTAAAGTGGAGACACACATGTTAATAGCATTTGACAATAAGAATTGAGAACAGAGTCTTCTTGTTGATTGTTTACATACTTTGCTCACAAGTCATCAAAACCAAATTTTCGAAACCTGAAATCCAAAATAACAGTTTGGCAATAACTTGGTAACAGCTAATCCACTTTTGATATGAGGTAGTATTTCAATCATAAATGAGAAAATGTATCATAATGAAAGGTGGTATCAGGTGTCTAGAAGGGTTTTGAATATGAAAACTGCATGAGCAGCTCTTGAGATCAAAGATTGCTTGCTGAAAGATATTCTTGTTTACCTCAGGCCTCTGTTCAATGACTTTCTGAAAATAAGTTGACAGGATAAGACAAATTTCCATTTTCTAAGTAAAACATTTAAAAATATTAAAACAAATACTTTTTTTTTTATGCCATTACGTTGATTTTCATCTTTTAACGTCTTTTTAATGTTATTGTTTTGTATTATAGAGGAGGCTAGTAAGAAACATCCATTCCCCAATCCATGTAGTTATCGTACAGCATTTTTACATTATCTTGACATCCAAAGTCCACCAAGAACACATATATTACGGGAATTGGCTGAATATGCTGAAGATCCTAAAGAGAAAGAATTTCTATTATCCATGACTGGCTCAGATGGCAAGGTTAGTATAATACTGAATATACTAAATGTTGCCATTGGCAAGAGAATATATTGAAATAAATGAATGTATTCTTACCACCTTGAATAATTATGCTTTTAAGTTTATGAGTTAAAAGAGGTAGAATTCAAAATTTTAATCATTAAAAACTGTTGTAAATTATCCTTATATGTGAAAAGGTTTGTAAAATATGTTATTGATATGTGTTTTAAGAAATAACGGCAACATATTTTTTGTTGAAACTTTGATATTAGCTGAAGTCAGCCTTGCTTGTGTTGCCTTTCAACTCCTTCAGGACTGATATCCCTTAAGATAATTAGATTTCTGATGCCTTAGCCAGTTCTTACAGTAGTAAGCTTTATTTCTGTATCTTTGCTCCCATAAATTCTCCCAATGTTGATATTTATTTCAGGACCAATATAATGAATGGATTGTTAAAGATCATCGTAATATTGTAGCCATACTAGAGGATTTAAAATCATTAAAACCACCATTAGATCATATTTGTGAAATGTTGCCAAGGTTACAATGTCGTTATTATTCTATTTCTTCATCTGCTAAGGTAAGACACTTTGATTTGAGTTTTTGGGGGTCATATATTGATTTACAAAATCAAAGAAGGCCCTTGAAGTAAGATTGCTGGATTCAAACCCAACATAGATTAAATTTTTCATCAGAATTTTCAGGCCTGCATGGTCTTCTGCTGGAAAATAGATAATAATAAGGAGTTGTAAATCAAGTAAGAGTAGTCTTATAGCAAAGTAGCTCCAATAGCTGTCCAACTTATTAGGCCAAATGTAAAAAAGTAGGACTCAATTTAATTGTTCGGGCATATATTTTTGTTTAGGTACATCCTACAAGTATACATATAACAGCTGTATTAGTAGACTATAAAACACGTACAGGAAGACAGGTAGATGGCGTTGCTACAAAATGGCTGTCAGAGAAAGTTATTAATGATGACCAGAAACATACCATTCCTATCTTTGTCCGTAAATCACAATTCCGTCTGCCTTTTAAACCAAGTACACCAGTTATTATGATAGGACCAGGAACAGGGTTAGCTCCCTTCAGAGGCTTTCTTCAAGAACGTGATTATTTAAAGAAAGAAGGTAAGAAATCATATACTTACATTACATAGTATAAGTTATAGTGTTAAATCAGGGTTGTTGATTTGACTTACAGTTGCCAGTAATGTCTGATTTAAGCTCTGAAATAAAGATAAACTGGGTGGATTAATGCCAAGAGGTTTGGTCAAAGACAAGCTGGTGAAAAGGATCCTTGTTAACCTAAGCTGCGTTTTCTTTTTTTCTGTAAATGAAAATTGATCACTTGTTTATGTTATTTTTTGTTATTATTTTAGGCAAACCAGTAGGAGACACCATATTATATTTCGGATGCCGTAATAAAGTTCATGATTTTATTTATGAAAATGAGTTAAATAGTTTCAAAGAGAGTGGGGCTTTAACCAAATTACACATAGCTTTCTCGAGAGATCAAAACAAGAAAGTCTATGTCCAACATTTATTAAATGAAAACAAAGATGAAATCTGGAATGTTCTAGAATCTGGAGGACATATTTATGTTTGTGGGTGAGTAGCTCGATTTCCAATTCAATCTTTTAAATCCAGTTTTTATCTGATACACAAAGCAATGCTGTTGATCTAAATTGTGTGGCACAGTCTTTGGTTTAAAGTGTAGCCTAGCTTTGTAGGTCTGTTTACATGTAACTGATGTAATAGTGTGGTTATAGTCATATGATATAAGCATACTGTGGTCTTCGCCTACAATATTTGAATTGTGAAATGTATTCAGAGATCAATTTCTTTTTATCAATGCGGGAATCCTTGGAAAATCCGAATCCGAAAATATTTTTCTTGTCTGAAACCAGACATGAAAATTGTATTATGTCCCTTGTTAAAGTCAAAACCTTCTGTTAAATATGTGAAAGTTTATTCTTTTTTCTTTCATCAAATGCGTAGTCTATCTTTGAAAGAAGAAATTTGAAGTCTCACAAAGTACTGTTAAATTGATTAGAAACTTTTTTTTTCTTTAAAGGGATGCTCGAAACATGGCACGTGAGGTTCACAGTACATTAGAACAGACTGTAGTAGAAAAAGGCAACATGGATGCTGCCAAAGCTGCTGATTACATTAAAAAATTACAATCAAAGGGACGCTACTCTTGTGATGTTTGGAGTTGAAGAATGTCGTCTGCTGTGTGTAAAAATAGAAGTGTACTGTTGAGTCATTTTTCACATCAAAAACTATATAGAATTGTATATAACATTGTTTATTAAACATTTATATTAAAGGATACAGCTATTCGTATAATATCCATAAATTATCTGCTGCCAGTTTGCCTGGACAAATGCACAGCACAATAACATAGACTGAAATAATTTGACACCAAATGAAGACACCACTAAATTTACAAATGTTCCCTGTCAATCATACATTATATCAAGCTTTAAGAGGTATAAATATCAGTAAAAAGAAATACTTTTCCATTGAATATATTTTGATGGGCAACAAAATACACCCAATTTTACAAATGTGCTCTACCAATCTTACATATAGAGTTTCATATTGATATGGAAAATGCATGAGTGGAAGAGTTCATTGGAAGGTTGAGGGGTATCAATAATAGTAAAAAAGAATTGCTTTTCGTTGAATGTTTCAAATACTAGCACAAAGAAATAGTTCTGCCATTTTGAGTTTGATTTTGTCAATATGAATAAATATAAATGCACAAAAATAATACAATAATTATCAGGAGGTATTCAAATGAATTTTTCCAAAATTTCTCCAAAAGTGGTTGTGAGCTATGAGAATTCATCATTTAGATTTTTAGAAATATCATTAATTTAGTTTATGCACATAAATGACTATTTGATAACATTTAAAACAGGGTAAAATATTGTACTTCGTGCCACAATTTGATAGCTCTTTTAAGTTTCAATGACGCAGTTAGTCTTTATATATTGATAAAGCAGTTGTAGTATATTCATCATAACACTCTATAGAATATAGAGATAGTAAAAATATATATTTAATGTATGATATAATTAGAAAGCTATACTTACTTTAACCCTTTTAACACCACCTAGCAGCCTGAACCTAGAACTAGGTGATACAGATCCAGATCGGTGAAGCGATAACACTGTTTCTGATGACAGATGGAATAGATACTGCACTTTTTTTCACTTTACACACTTATTTTTTATCGTTTGACCGTCATAATGTTTTGATGAAATAGATGAAACTTAAAAAACTTGTGAAGTTTTTTTTTTTCATGTATGTTTAGAATAATGCTTATCTAAAATTTTAATGCCAATGGCTTAAATCATGTATTTATGTTTATTCAAACTTCACCTCCATGTGTATCTAAATTTAAACTTCTTATACTTTGGAAGTTTATGTACATGAATATTTATGATTGCGCTAATGCATATTAATTTTATGCTTCATTTCTTTATACCTATGTAAATTTTACTTCATATTCTGTATCTAGTTTTCATTGCAAGCATGCCTTTATTGTATCTTAATTTTGAATTTGAGTGTATTTTAGTTTTGACTCTATAAATGAAGTTTTTACATTATGAATTTCCCTACATTAGTATTCAATTCCATCTGTATGTGTATCTCAAAGTCATTATGTATCTAAATTTTTATTTACTTCATGTCTATCTACATTTCATTTTATTCTTATAATTGCTCATGTGATGGTACCTCATTAGAGATAAGAACAAACTTTATTCTTGTTTTGTCTATACTTTTATTTATAGTCAACTAAATATTTTATAGCCAATATAGGAATTAGGTTTTATACAATTACCAATAAAAATCTTGTTCATTGAAAACATCTTGAGACATATTTATTAAGGAATGTTTGATAAGTTTTATTTGTTGTTTAAGTAAAATATTTGTATTTTTATAAGATAGATTCCTGCTCAAGTCTGGATATTATGATATTATAAATATAGCCAAGATTCCTCAAAAAAAGCAAAAATGATTCAATGAGATCACCTCCAAGACATTTCAAAAATATTATCCTGGAAAAGGGCTCATTCATGTATTTTGAAATGAATGAAATGATCCCTGGTCACTTCCATTGCTACATGGATCATGTCCTTGGTGTTCATGTAATTGGTGATCATGTCCTTGGTCATCATGTGTTTGGTCATCATGTGCTCGGTGATCATGTGATTGGTCATCATGTGCTTCGTGATAATGTATCCGGTGACTTGCAGTTACAATACAGAATTATAGGGTGCATTCGGAGTTATTTTAAAATTGAGACTTTGAATATGTAGCTCTTTGATTATAGATAATAAAACCAGTTTGATTAAGGACCAAGGTGATGTCCTTTATTTTCAAAGGATTTAGCAAAACTTGACTTATGTCATTTTGTCCAAATTTGTACCAGATCTTTCTGATGAATCTTGTTGCTTTTCAACTACATAGTCTCCATATAGTCTGAATCAAGATGCATTATATACACCATTCCCTACTCCTTTTTCTGGAAGTGCCTTGTTTCATGATGCTTTCAATGCTGTTGATTTGCTGGCATGTGTCGGTTATGTCTGATAAAAGTCCAGCTGAGATTTTAATCTTTTGGACATTAATTTGTATTGAAATAAACAAGGAAACTTGACATCAAAATGATCATTTGAAAAGGAAATGAATGGAGTTTTACGTCTTTAAAACTACTTCGTTTTACTTTTCTGCTCATTGGACGAATGTACAGCATATAGCACACTGGTTTAAAGCAAAAACCACCCTTCTACCAACCAACCCTTCTGTATTTGAGTCCTAGACGTAACTTGACCCCAATGTACATCTCAATTCAGTAACTTCCTTGATAACTACTAGACCAAAGCCATTTCTTATTGACTTATTTGTTATATATAGTAGGATATATAAATGTGTACTGACTGATTAGAAATGAATTTGTGATATCTGACGAAATAAATGTAGTTTTCTACTGTTACTGTTATTTTGTTATTTACTGTTTCGATTTATTTTGAAGAAATTGTCTTATTCACGAGGGCATTTTTGCAAATCTGTTTATGAGGTTTCCAGTCCCCTCTTTTTCAGTTGGCTGCAATACGATGTCCATAAAAAAGGAGATAGTCGCCAAAATAATTTCTCTCAGCTCACAGACCTCCAAAATTCGAAGGTTTGTGGTTACTGCTTATGTAACATCAATATCACGAAATGACAGGGCCTTTGCGATAGCACCGTGGTGTATTTCAAAACAAATTAATGTCCAAAAGATTAAAATCGCAGCTGAGCATTTTGAATCTTGCATCGTGCATATCGATTTAAGGTTAATAGGTGTTAAGGTTGGCTACGTCATTTCTTTGATGTTCGTCATAACCTAACTACTTGGATCAATTCTTTGAGTAGGATTACTTATTTGAAGAAAATGGAAGTCTTGACATCCAGCTGGACACGATTTCCTGAACGTCACTCCCAGAAGATCAAACGGCAAACGTCACTTCCCCGACGTCACCTATTAACGTCACTACCGTACAAGTCATTACGCTTTTAGGGCGATTGTATGTTGAAATAGCACTAATTAATACCATTCTGTAATTAGCTGCTAATGAACTCTTGTTTTGGAATCCTAACATTCTGATCTTTCCGCTTGATTCTGTTCTTGCAGGTCCTCAATACACTGTCCATGTCATCATAGTTTGTGTTAGGTGCTGTGTATAAAGAGCAATTACAACAATGTAAATTCTGAAAGGATTGAAATAAAACAAATAATCAAAGAAAAAAATTTTTTAAAACACTTAATGCAATTGTTTCAGAGTGTTAATGGAATGAGTCCAATTAGCTATGGATGAGTAAATTACTTAGAGTTTTGTTTCTCTTAAAAGCAGTAACCAAACGTTTAGTGGAAATATTCGGAAAATGATCTTGAAGTTCCTTGTAATATCTTTTGTCAATCATAGAAGCATTTTTGGCAGTGGAATTAAAGGTTGCAACTTCATATAACAGGTATAATCCATGTACTGCTCTTCTTTCAGACTCCATATTGTTGTGTTCTACTCCCAACTATCGTATAAAGTGTTCTGCTAAGTATTTTCGATACCATTCAGTAACAGGGTTCTTAAAAATACATATACCAAGTCTCTCGTCCAATACGGTTTTTTGCTTTTCTGTGGCTTTCTACCTTACTTTACCTGCACTCTAAGCTGTTATGAAATGTGGTTATGGTCTCACTGACTGTCTTGTCCTCATCGTCATATATCACATCAGCGTATCAATATGCTGGCCACATATTTTGAGAAGACGGTGCCCTACACTCTGCTCTGCCATATAGATTTTGCTCACTGAGTGGGTGTATATACCTTTATAGTAACAGTATATAATTCCACCAAGGATCGCTACTGTCAACTAGATGTAAAATGTCCGTCTACAGAATGTAATAAAAAATAACGATGTAATTAGAATTTATCCTATAATATCATATGTCAAGTGTAATTATATGTCCAGTCTAATTAGAAGCTCAGTAATTAACTCATTTTCTCCATGATTACCATCTTTTATCTAAAAGTCTTAATTGAAACTAAAGAAATATATCTTATTAGCCTCATAATTCACTTGTCAATGTTACCTGGAGAAATTACTGTTTAGTAAAAGTTCCTTGATATCTGTATCACTATTGATCTACAATTAGTGGCGGCGCCAGCCTCGGGAGGCTGGGAGTACAAATAGGGGGCAAAGTAGGGGGATAACTGTCCAGGCTGAATTCTCATGTAAATTTTCGAAAATGAATTGATCTTGTGCATTCTGACACATATTTTCGGGCAAGAAGAAGAAAATTCAATTTGTTCTAAAAATTCTCTGGGGTATTTTACCCCACTGACGCCGTCACTCTCTACAATAGAGACACTGTGGATTCAGTAAGTTTAGTGTCTTTCACGTTTCTTGAGGTCCAAGTTTCGAAGTGCTAGCTAGCTTTATTGGCTTCACTAGTATATCAAAAAAAGCTCTCATGGAAAAAGGCTCACTCTAATTCAAAAATGACACACCACTGATCCATACGTGCCGACAAGGTAGAATTCTCTGCGGCTGTGAGATTCCATGTGAATCTAAAAATTAATGAAAAATTAACTCTTCTCATCAATCTGCATGGAGATCCGAGGGACAGATTTACAATTTTAAATAACTAATAAATGTTCGGGCTTAGGCTCGCATCGAAAGCCGGGAACTAGGAAAATCGCGAAACCTATTGTCTTAGAAAAGTTCCACCAGAAATTGTAACCCCGTTTTCAATCGGGCCTGAAATGATGAAAGTCTTTTCTTTCTGGTGAGTTGCTAGCTAGCATTTTCCAAGGAACTATGACGAACCACGGACAACTGTGGATTACTACTATTAGTTTATGAAAGAATATTCAAAATAATTCTAAAAAATTTCCTCAAGAAGACAATTTCATTATTGCATGCTAATGCTAAACAAACTCATAAAAATCAAGGTTCTGTGTTCTGTGAAGGTTTGTAAGTTTGTGTTTAAGAGACACCATGTTGTTAGATAACAGCAGGCAATAAAGCTGGTAATACTGTAAGATTAAAATTCTTATATTGGAACCACCACCTCA